TATATGAGGAGGAGCTGAAGGTTTGCTGGGTGAGGGATCAGTTCGAGTAACATCTTCTGGTTTTTCAGAAGCTTCAGTTGAATTTGACTCTGCTTCTTGTCTTTCACATTGCACACTCCTGGTCAGCTCTAACATGTCATAAATAGGGATATCCTGTTCATCAGTCTCAAGATTTGCATTAGTTTCATTAAACACAACGTGAACAGACTCTTCAACCTTCTTAGTACGACTATTATAGACACGATAGGCTTGACCTTTTATGGAGTATCCTAAAAAGACACCCTTGTCAGATTTGGCATCAAATTTGCCTAGGTGATCCTTTGTGTTAAGAATAAAACAAGGACATCCAAAAGGATGAAGATAAGACAGATTAGGTGTTTTAACTTTCATAATCTCATAAGGTGTCTTATCTATCCCTTTTCTAATCAGAACTCTATTAAGGACATAGCAAGCTGTACTTACTGCCTCTGCCCAAAAATACTTAGGCAGATTAAATTCCAATAACATAGTACGAGCACACTCTATAATAGTTCTGTTTTTCCTCTCGACGACTCCATTTTGTTGTGGAGTTCGAGGGGCAGAAAAGGTGTGAGTTATCCCAGATTCACTGCATAGAACCTCAAACTCCTCTGAAACAAACTCTCCACCATTGTCACTTTTAATGGTTTTGATCTGACCATTATATAGTTTGACAAAAGTTTTGAATTTATTCAAGGCTTCATCCTTATGCGAAAGAAAATACACCCATGAATACCTAGAATAGTCATCAACAAGGACCAAGACATAATTCTTTCCACCTAAACTTGTCACATTACAAGGACCAAACAAATCCATGTGAATAAGATCAAAGGTGCAACTTGTGACAATGTCAGGTTTAGGTTTGAACGGTTTCTTGGTGTGTTTTCCAGAAACACAAGTTTCACAAAAGAAATCAGTTTTTTCTTTTAAGATAGGCATGCCACGAACACAACCTGACTTAGATAGAGCAACAAGTTTAGATAAACTAAGATGCCCCATCTTTCTGTGCCATAGCATTTCAAGTTGATTTGAAGCAACAAAACAAGTTTCATTGAAAGCACTTAAATCACTTAAATCAATAACATACATATTATTGATTCTGTTTCCAACAAACATAATCTTCCCATCCCTGACTCTTTCAACTGTGCAATGGTTAGCCTTGAAGGCAACCTGATTACCATTACTGCACAGTTGACTGATGGACAGAAGATTATGCTTCAATCCTTCAACAAGAAGGACATCTCGAAAAGAAGGTGATGGAAACTTTCCTACTGTACCACAACCAACAATATTGCCATGACCATTATCTCCAAAAAACACTTTACCCCCATTATTAGGTTTTAAGGAAGAGAACAAAGATCTCTTACCAGACATGTGGTGAGAACAACCACTATCTAAGTACCATTTCTTGTCATCATTGTTGTTTATCCCTGAGTGAAAAGCATTCTCGACTTCTGATTCTGTGATTTTGGTAGCCATGTATGCCTCTTCATCTAACTTACCCTCCTCTGGATCAGAATCATAGTCACTCCATGATGCCTTCATGGCCTTTTCTTTAGCTTTTACTGTTTGCGGACATTGAGCTCTGATATGACCGAGCTTCCCACATCTGTAACACGCCTGAGGTTCTCTGTCATGCTGACCTGTCTCAACAAATCTGGTCTGCTGTTGAGGCAGCCTTTCTTGAAAAACATTTTTGTTATGATCATAAAATCCCTGCCTACTTTCATTTGACTGACGTTTCTGATTTTTATACTTGAGCATACGATGAAATTTCTTGCTAACTAAAGCAAATTCCTTTTCAAAATCACTTTCACTGTCTGAATCATATTCAGCAGCTCTGGATTTGAAGGCTAAGTTTTTCTTTCTTTTCTCATCTTCTTGTCCTACCTGTCTAAGAACGTGTTCATGACTCAGTAAAGATCCTATTAGTTCATTAGTAGGCAAGATAGAAAGGTTCTTAGCTTCTTCAATAGCAGTACGTTTTGGTAACCATTCCTTTGGCAAAGACCTCAGAAGTTTTCGGTTTAGATCCTTACTAGGAAATGACCTACCTAAACCTTTCAATTTATTGACAAGAACAGTAAATCGGGAATACATCTCATGTATTCCCTCTCCCTCAAGCATATTGAATGACTCATAATCATGCATCAATAAATCAATACGAGATTCTTTAATGTTAGAGGTACCTTCGTAGGTGCTTTCCAAGGCTTGCCAGATTTCTTGAGCTGTTTCGCAGTTTTCTACTTGGTCAGCTTCGTCTGGATTCATAGCCGCCTGAAGAACGTGCATAGCTCTTTGATTTAATTGTGCACTCTTCTTCTGGGCCGCGGACCACATCATCTGCTCATCCATGTCCATCTGAATAGGGCCATTCTGGACGATCAGCCACAATTCTTCATCCACTCCCCACATAAACTGCTTCATTCTTTTCTTCCAGGCGGTATAGTTCGACCCTGTGAAGATAGGAGGATGATTGAGCGTAGCTTGCCCGAACGAACTTGACGCCATTGGATCGATTACCTTGGCATCAGTGAGCTTCGTCAAGGCAGAGCTCTGATACCAATTGAAATCGGATTAGGGTTAGAGAAGGATAATCGAAGTTGGGAATTTTGATTTGAGCAGGAGAGGGATGAGAAGAATGTCTCGACAGAAGATGACTAAAGAGTCAGTCTTATGGACTCGAGACCTCAACGCTCTGATGGGCTCAAAATGGCCAAGTGGGCCGAGCAAAACAAACAGCGGGCTGATGATCAATTAGGCCCTGATCATCATATGACCATAATCTGTTTGTCCTTCACTGAAGGTCTGAAAATGCAGAACGAACAGAACAGCAAAGAATCAAAACAGAGGAGAAGGACAGAGAGGAACACGCGATCTTTTTAACGAGGTTCACCCTTGTGCAATGGTTAATTCCTCGTCCCAGGATCACAGATCCCAGGAGACTCTATTTAAGATTTTAATACCAAAGGAACACAATTACAAAGACTCTAAAGAACAAATAGATAAATCGCAAAGACTCCCTGAATCACTATCCGACTCAGTTCAGCCACCACAATGTAGAACCTCTTCCCCTACACTGTTCACCCTTCTGTAATCCAAAGCTCGAACCTATACCTCTTGCTTTGATTTTCCACAAAAGTACTTCACCCCTGTAAACCTCAAGTCATATATAGAGTAATTGCTAGCCGTTGGAGAGAATCAGGGAGAATAGCTTGAATTGAGCACTTTCCTTCTTTGAGCAATTCTGCAACGGTCTTGGAGGATTGACATATCAGACTTACCATTCATATCAGACTTACCATTTCAACACTATGTTTGTGCTTTGGCTTTCATTTAGATTGTACCGGAAATAGAAAATTTTGGGTGTATTGCCACAAAAATATTCGTCTAATGTGGAGGGATGCCTACGTCGCATGCGCGAGCCGTGGCCAAATAGTGGCGGCTGGGAAAAGATTCTAACGGTCTATGTTTGTTTGGTCCGTGTGATTGTGGTTACTACTGTGTTCATTATGGTTACCTGCAAATAAGTTATTTTTGTAGGTGTATAGTTGAGGCTGTCACTAACGAATAAGTTATTCACAACTAGACTATACCGATATATTCTCGTGTTGTTCGTGAAGTTGAAATTATATCTTATTATTGAGCATGTGGGGTTTGCCTTTTTCGAGTTCGTTCTTCGACTTGTGTCGGAGAGAAGAAAGAGATGAGAGCTTTTGCTTTATAAAATGCAAAATTATCACACACGAGCTCTCTGGTGACCTTCTTCTTTGCAGCTCCAGACGATATCTCCTCCTTCTCCAGACGTAAAGGCGACCAGATCTCACGCTTCGTCGTCGAATTGAAGAGCGGTGGCTTCTCAAGCTTGAGTGGCAATGTTGGGGGTAGATAGAGAATAGGGGGAACAGAGGCAGCCCGAACATGCTTCTTCTATTTGGGGTAAATTGCAAGTTTCACTATAATTGCTTTAAAAAAATTCACATTTGGCACTAAAAATATTTATCACATTCATGGTCATTAAAATTAGTTTACCAGTCCAAGTAATTGGTCAGTGCCCGTTACCTTCCAAGAGCATCATGTCACATAGCGCAACACACAATGGCAAAGCATATGAATCATGTGTATTGCAGAATGATCATACAACAAAGTGTCAAGAACCAGTTGATCCCAATAACTTGCTCTCAATAACTCGAGTTATTGGGAGCAACTAGTTCTTGACATGGTATCAGAGCCTTCTGTGACCGAGAGGTTTTGTGTTCGATTCCCGGTTGCCCCCATTTGTTAAGCACATGGTATTCTTGTCTTCAAACCTTAGCAAACTTCAAGCCCTTGTGAGTGACTTTCGTTTGAGGGGGCGTGTTAGTGTTGTGACTTGTGGTATATGATCCACGATTGAACCTCTCCTAACAACTCGAGCTATTGGGATCAACTGGTTCTTGACACAAAGCATGTACTTTACTGAATCAATTATAGTGAACACCAACCTTGTCTGCATATTCTGCAATAGCTGCGCTCAAAGTCTCTGTTTGTGTTGTCCTAGTGACACCTGCATCGAGTATAGTGCTTCAGCATGAACTGCAATACTGCACCGCATGTTTGAAGCTTCTTCGCAGATGCTTCCTCACAGTAGCACTCTCATATTGAGACCTACTAGACATTATGCCACTGCTTTTCAGGAAAACATCTGACCATAACCTGGAATCTTCCTCGGCCAAATTCATCAAATCGCTCTCTCGATATCATGCTTGGGCGCACACACCACAGAGAGTCCAAGCAAGAGAAATTAGAGGCACATGCAGAGACACAAGAGTTCAACATTAAAATGCACAGCTAAGAATAGCAACTATCTTCTCAACGATATCAGGTGGCCTTAATAGTCAAGACTAGTGAAAGGATCAGGCCGAATGTCTCAGTAGCTGCAGAAATGTAACATTGCAGCAAATATCATACATGTTTAAAGAAAGAACCGATTCGACAGACATGGATGTGAATAAGAGGTAATAGAATCAATATATCATCAATACATGTTAATTTCTTGAACTTATCTCCACATATAATCGTTGCTCAAAAGAATGTTTTCAACACTTACAAGGCGAGGTGTAGGATTTGCACGGATTTCATATCTTTCCAATGATGTGCATCTCACGAGGTGTAGGATTTGCAAGGATTTCATATCTGCAAGGCCCTCAATCTCGTACAAATTAGAAGCATTAATGACAGTCAACTCGTTCAACTTTTGCAGTTTTGACAGGGAAGGTAATTTCTGTGTAGCCAAGCGAAGCAACCGCAGAGTAGCTAACTCTTCCAAGGACTCGAGTCCCTCCAGCAGCAATTCGTTCGCCACATTAGGAGGCTACGTCTGCCCAAGTTCCAACACCACAAGCCTCGGAAACCTAGACAGATGAAGCATCTGGCAGAAACTACCTTGTAGCAGTGACTCACATCCATTTACGGACAACCTTTGTAACGAGTCAAGTACTGGTTGGCTGTCACAACTCAAACCACCACCATCAAGCTGTTGGTCAGGGGAAGATAGTGCTGCAAGACGAGGACACTCCCATATAATTAAAGTTCATAGCTTGTTTAGAGATAGGAGATTAACGAAGCCAATGGAGATGAGTTAAGGTGGTGGCAGCGGTGCCTCAACAATTATCTTAACATTCGCCTCTAGTTTTCGTAGAGAGGAGATAGTATTGGAGCTGATCTGCGAGAAACCTTTGATCTCTACCCTCCTCAAGTGCTTCAAACTAGATAGCTCATCAACAGGAAGTCTTTCCAAAGATCTGCAACTATACAGATTTAAATGTTCCAAGGATTTCAAGCCGACAAGGCCCCCAATCTCCCGCAGATATGGAGCATTACTGACGGATAACTTTTTCAATTGCTTCAAAGATGCCATGCTTGGCAGTCTTCCCAGTGCATCACAGCCTTCTAGTGTCAAGGATGTCAAAGAATAGAGACTATCAAGACCATCCAGATTGCATAAAGCTTTCATATCACTTAGACTCAGACTTACCAAGGATTTCAACCCTCCAAGACCAGGGATGTCATTAAGCAAGGAACATCCTGAGATGTATAAGTGAGTCAAGTATTCCAGATTCTTTAGATTTGGGAGCCACTTCAGTTTTGGACATATCTTGATGTGAAGGGTGGTCAGCGACGATGGAAACAGCGGCAAGGAAGAAGTACTAGAGGTATTAGTTGGCATAGTCATCTTTTTTTTATAAGGAGTTGGAATATTCAATTTGTATGACTTCCACCACATATCACTACTGGCTGCTGGAGGGATCTGAAGCCCATACCCAGATTGAACTAGTTTCAATGTCTCCAACTCCAACATGTGATGGAGCAACGGCAAGGAAGAAGGACTAAAGGTATTAGTTGGCATCGTCATCTTTGTTTCTTGCAGTGTCGGAGACTCCAATTTGGATGACTTCCACCACATATCACTACTGTCTACTGGAGGGATCTCAAGACCATACCCAGTCATTGACGATGGAAGCAGCGGCAAGAAAGGACTAGATGTAATAGTTGGCATTGTCATCATCTTTGTTTCTTGCAGTGTCGGATACTCCAATTTGGATGACTTCCGCCACATATCACTAATGTCTACTGGAGGGATCTCAAGACCATACCCAGTTGACGATGGAAGCAGCGGCAAGAAAGGACTAGATGTATTAGTTGCCATTGTCATCATCTTTGTTTCTTGCAGAGTCAGAGACTTCAATTTGGATGACTTGCACCACATATGACTACTGTGTGCTGGAGGGATCCCAAGCCCATACTTGGAATATCGAATGACTAGTTCCTCCAACTCCACCAGCTCTGGAAGGTTAGCCACTGGAGATGTAGTCTCCAGCTCCTTCAAACTTGTAGGAAGCTTAGTATTCAGTAACAAATTCTCGTAAACTGATGCCAATCCCACATCAGCGATTACATCTACTCTCAAGATTTCAAGAAACTGCAAATCCCCAATATCGGCAAGTGTTGCTCTCAGACTCTCCTCAACCCTTAAATGGATGATATTGAGCTCTTGAAGCCCCTTCACCATCCCAATGGTTCCACCCCTTATCTCTCCTACCTCACAAAACCATAGATGCAGAACTTTTAGGTTCCTCAAGTTCCCAATATCCAGATCCTTATGGGACAACCGAGGCCCGAAATCCTGCAGATACAATATCTCTAAACTCCGTGGAAAGTCGGGATATTCTATCAAGAACTTACCCACAAGTTTCAGAACTTTGAGCTTTCTCGCCATCTTCATTTAGAAATTTAAAAAACAAGGGAAAACAAAAACATGTACAACAGTAAGTCAGTAACTACTAATTAAGAAACTAAACAAGTACCTTAAGTGCTCTGTCATTAACAATAGTGCATACCTTCATGAGATGTCTCAAACCTCCCCAATCATCTTTCACCGGGGTTAAGAGTTCGAGAATCACCATATTTTCCGCATGAAACTTAGGCATACACCCACCGTATCCAAACTTCCATCGAAACCATCTTAAATTTGGAAGATAATCAGCGAAGTCGCTAGGGAGCATCTTAGTTTGTACGTCAATGAATCTCACCTCTGATAAATTCATAAAGCATTCACTTTCAAAGTTCCCCACAATCTCAAGCTCCTCCACAACACCATCACCAGATGAGGAGTTCATTCTAATGCATTCAATTATGTTTGTTCCCTGCAAAAAAGAAATAAAAAATCAATAACCAATAGGAAAGAAACCATAAGTCTTCACTACAGAGGTTCATCATGTTTGTAGTAGTTGTTTGCGCTTACCTAAAACATGTTATCCTATCATTAATTCCTGAAGTTTTAAGTTGAAAAATCATACAAATCAGATGCATCTCTTAAGTTTAGACCGAGGACTCAAGTTGGACCCTAATTTTAAAAGCTAAAACAAACATCAATACGAGAAATTTAATTTCAGATTTTACTCCTTGGAATAAGAATTTATGATTCAAAATTCATAAGGCTTAAGTTGGTGAGTTGGTAACTAGGACCTACTTAACGTAGAATCAACATCTGCCAATTTTGACAGTAAATATTCAGAGCTTGTGGCTATCAGACACATTAAAAAATCTAAAAGTAACTATAGTAAGACGCAGGAGTATTACCTTTTTGTTATGTAACATGTCCATAGCTTTCTCCTCGGACCATATCCTACTTCTATTCCATGGATGTCTTTTGTTTTCTTGACGTACAATTTCCCTACCCATATCTCTGAGTTGATCATGCATTCGGAACACTTTTTGTTTTTCAATATCACAAACAATCTCAATCATAGACCTCTGATTAAGAATATTGATATTCGTTACTGGGAAAAACCCACAAGAACTCCACATATAAGAAGGTATCTCTTTGTCGTCTCCAACAAAGTAACAAGCAATATCTAAGAAAATCTGCTTTGCCTCTTCGTTTAAGGAATCATAGCTTATCCTTAACCTTTCCATAACCTCCTCCTCTGGAATATCTTTTAACTGTCTCAGTTTGTCTTCCCAAATCACTTTCTCCTCTTGAAATAAAAGAGACCCTACAACTTTAAGTGTCAATGGAAGTCCTGCTGCAACAGAGACAATATCTTTTGACAAAGTCTCAAAACCTGATGGAGGAGAATCCATTTTGAAGGCATGCTTGCAGAAGAGTTGGAGTGAGTGGCCATGAGTCATTTCTAGTACTTTATACAGCTTGCACTCTGTAGTCAAAGTACTCAATACTTTTACATTTCTGGAAGTCATGACAAATCTACTTCCTGAAACAAAATTCTCGATATTCCCCAACACCTCTTCAATTTCAAACTTCTCGTCCACATCATCAAGAACAATAAGGCATTTGAAACGAGTAATCCTATTTCTTATAACTTTTATACCCTCACTTATATTGGCAATGGATTCAACAGAATTCCTCCTCAGGATGTCTGAGATTAACTGCTTTTGCAAAGTCATAACACCATCCTTCTTAAGTAACATTTCTCGTACGCTTTCCACAAAGCTACAACGATCAAACTGAGCAGATACTTTGTTATAGAAAGCCTTGGCGATAGTTGTCTTACCTATACCGCCAATACCATGAATGCCGACAATTGACACACCGTCAGAGTCTAGGGTCATCCTTTCTTCTACTGCTTCTATGTGACCATCAATTCCGATCAACTTATCAGTCTCCAACACATTATTGTTCTTACTCAGGTGTGACCATACATCCCCAGTAACAAGATCTGCTATAGCCCCCTGCCTGGAAAAATAAGATGCCCAATTATCTCAACCACGGGACAAGAAGTGAAAGTAATATCCAATCTGACAATGAGTAATTTGGTAAACAATAAAAAAAAGGTGCGAGTGAGGGTGAGGTTACTTACTCATCACTGCTTTTGACATACCATCCCTTCATAGCTCCAACCTTATTTAAAGCGTCTCTCCAAACTAGAACGGTCTCTTCATCGAAATTCTTCTTGTGTTCTTCAAATGCATTCCAATACGGCCCACTTTGATGTCGGACATCTTTGGGATCCACCATGTAAAAAATGGGTAGTATGATGCAACCCTGGTTGCCCTCTTGGCGCTCAACAATCGCCACAAGTTCTTTGAGGCACCATTTACTATAAGCATAATTCTCCGAAAATATGGGTACATAAATCTTGGCTTGTTCGATAGTCTCGACGAGATTGGGCCATATCCCTTCCCCATTCCGGAGCTCATCATCATCCTTGAAAGTGCGGATCTTTAAGTTAACAAGAAAACGATAAAGGATATCGGTGATCTGATAACGGGTGTCTGGACCTCTGAAATTCAGAAACACCTCGTACTCTCCAAATGGTAGGGGCAGCGAATGTGAATCTGCAGGTTCAGAAGCAGAAGCAACAGTGTCCGATTCTCTAGAGGCATTATCAACAGTAACGTTTGATCCGTGGGAACTTCTTCCGTCCATGTAATCCATTTCTTCATAACAACATATGATACAAGCACAAATTATGTCAGTCCAATCTGATTAAGCCTCGACTAAGTAATACATATTAAAAGACTGTAAACTAATCTTGCTAATCATAAAACCCTTCCCTTATCTTTTGGTATTGGCAGGAGAGGAAAAGAAAACAGCAGAGCAGAGAGGACTTACGAGCAAAGAGAGAGGTGTTTTCGGTTATTGCCTGGCTCTGCAAATTCTGGAACTGGAGAGGAGAAGCGAAATAGAAGGGTATGGATATAGAAACCGACGAAGCAGAGTTGGGGTTGGTGGAGAAGGCGCGTAGACTTCTGCGGCATCGAGGAAACAGTCGGAGTTTCGTCTTCCCATCATATTATTATTATTATACTGTAAAAAACAGAGTAGGTGGTTAGTTATCTCTTAAGCACCAATAGAGTATCAAAGCGCTGCTTCCATCCCACCATGCATCCGCGAAATTGTTAAGTAAAGAAAGACTAATTTGAAAGAATTGAACTGAGGTCAACTGTGATAGATAGAAATTACAGGAACTTTACGTACCAGTTGCAGAGGTTTTGCAGACTTGAGGGAAGATACGCACCAAATATCCGGAAATGGAGAAGGAGGATCCCTAGACGGCAACCGACCACATTCAGGAGCGACGACCACCGGAAACTACTAGATTCCCCTCTCTTGCTTTTGGAATTGGTTTTTTTTTTTTTTTATAGAAAGTCCTGAATATTGTTTTTTTTTAATTTACCACGAATATAGTGATTTTAAAACCATTTACAAGAATATTGTGTTTTTTGATATGTTGAAAGCGCCGAAGCCCCACTCCAGGGCGCCGCCGCTAGGTGTTTTTTTAAAAACAAAACTTAGCGGCGGCGCCCCGGACTGGGGCTTCGGCGCTTTTGAGAAAATAAAAGCGTCGGCGCCCCAGACTGGGGCTTCGTCGCTGCCATTTTTTTCCACTCCAGCACCACCCATTCATATATATACTGCACCTTTCCTTCGGTTCTTCATCACCAAAAAACTGAAAGAAGTTCTGAGAGAAGCTCTGGTATTGTTGTCTGGTTGCTGGGAAGATGGCTAATAACAGGTAAGAGTCGTAATTTTTTTTTCATGTATTCATCATAATGATTTTGACCAGTTAGTAATTAGAGTTTGTTTTTAATGTAGTGGTTTTAGAAGATTTGAACTAGCTGTTCGGTGGCGATCAGAGAAAGTAGAAGACAATTTGGGTGTCCATTTTGTTGGTGGTTTAAGTTTCCAGATGACTATTCCATCCAGGGTGAACTATCAGAAACTTTGTGATCATCTAATTCGGAGAATACGGATTAGAGACGAAACAGTACAAGATAGTGTTGTGACTACAGGTTTCACCTACTGTCTTCCAGAATGGCAGAATGTTGTTTTATTTCATTATGCAATGCCTATTGTCGATGATGATAGCTTAAATGTGCTTTGAAATTTTATGGCACAAAATCCTTATTGTTTGGGTGCTGAGATACATGCTGAACTCAGTGAGGATCGGGATGGAGAGGAAGACGATGATGACGGTGATGACACATGGAGCATGCCATCCGATCATGACGATGATGACGGTGATGATGGAGATGAGGAAGACGATGATGAGGAGGAGGAGGAGGAGGAGGAGGAGGAGGAGGAGGACGACGGGGAGGGAGGAGAACTACTTAATTATCCTCCATATTTTTACTTGCAGAGTAATGAAGAGGACGAGGAATTATCATATGCTGATTCATATGGCGTAATTCCAGGGTACACTGTTGGTGGTTTTGATGGAGAATTCTACAAGGGGCAGATATTTCACTCGAAACAAGCTGCACAGGTGGCGATTAAGCACTATGCACTACAACGCAACTTTCAGTATAACGTGGTGGAGTCGTCACCTTCAATCTGGAAGATCAGATGTTTGATGCACAAGGAGGACAAATGTCCTTGGATGTTGCGGTTTGGATGTCGAGATGTGGGAGGCGATTGGAGCGTGAGAAAGGTCGAGTTGGTGCATACTTGTAGCAGTACGACTCAACCGACGGATCATCGCCATCTTGATGTCGACGTGATATCTGAGGCCGTCAAACATTTGGTACGTGCCCAACCAAATCTGAGTGTTCTAACTGTGCAAGCCGAGTTGAAAGATAAGTTTAATATGCAAGTTACTTACAAGAAGGCTTGGTATGGGAAACAAAGAGCATTGGAGAAGTTGCATGGAAATTGGGAAGAATCCTATGATTTTTTGCAGACATTCTTGCGGGTGGTCAAGAGAAAAATGCCAACATCGATGATTGATTGGGTAAGAGTTCCTTCGACTCAACCAGGTCATTCGATATTTCAGCGAGTATTTTGGGCTTATGGACCTTGTATAGATGGATTCAAGTATTGTCCAGGCGTCATGGTTGTTGATGGGACATTTCTTACTGGGAAGTATAAAGGAGTGCTACTCATGGCGAGCTCATTTGATGGCCTGAAGAAGATTTTTCCAATTGCATTTGCCATAGTGGAGAGTGAGAATACTGATAGTTGGCCATGGTTCATACGTCACGTTCAGGGTTTGACTGATCGAAATGATGTATGCATCATCTCAGATAGACATGCAGGACTCTATGAAGCCATGAATAACATCGGAAGAGGTTGGGAGTGGAGGTGGTGCATGCGACACTATGCAAGCAATTTGCAAAGGAAGACTAAAAGCAGAATTATGTATAAGCAACTATTTCGAGTCGGTAAGCCTTCTTCATTTAATTTTATTATTTATTTTTAGGTAATTTTGTCATGAATTTATCTAACCCGTGTGGTTGATTATTTGTTAGCCGGAGAAAAACGCTTGGAGAAGTTCGATCGTCAAGTTGAGCAATTTAAGAAGGTGGCCACTGATAGAAATATTTCATGTGATAACTGGGTGGACCAACATCAGATTCGTTGGAGTTTAGCACATGATAACTACAATGGTGGGTGTCGTTGGTCTATCCTGACATCCAACATGGCAGAAAGCATCAATGGTGTTTTCAAAGGTATTCGTGCACTTCCTATAGCTTCTCTTGTGCAACATACCTATTGGCGATTGGTGGAGAAATTCGATAAGTACAGGTTGGAGACAGGAGCAGAAATTAGGAGTGGTCCTTCACAGTACTCCACCAAGTGCGAAGAACTGATGACCAAGTGGTCACAAAAGGCAGTTGGGCATTCTGTGACAGCTCTTGATCGAAGTCAAGACATCTATGTAGTTCAGACTCCCCCCAACAATTTCAACATGACGGGGTCAAACACACTCACAGTGCACTTTGACGACCTCAACCGGACGGGATTTTGCACTTGTGGGAAATTTCAAGGAAATAAAATTCCCTGCTCTCATGCCATTGCAGCTTGCAACCGAATGGGGGCCCATCCATAGGTTTGTAAACAACGTCTACAAGCTTCGAACAGTGCTTGCTTGTTATGGGACAAGTTTCACTCCTCTTGGTGAACCTAAGGGTTGGAAGAAGCATAATGACACTACTCTCCATCCTAATCTGGACATGATTAGAAAGCCGGGGAGGCCAAGATCAACACGAATTCACAACGAGATGGATTGGCCAAGGGAGGGTTCATCACAGCAAGTGTGTAGCAACTGTAACCAAGCGGGACATAATGCATCAACCTGTGGTGGCCAAGCAAGTGGGAGTGGGAGCAACCGAAGAGGGAGTGGTGGCCAACGAAGTGCGAGAGGTGGTAGAAGAGGAGGAAGTAGAGGGAATAGACGTGGCTGAGAAGTTTGTTCGAATGTAGCAGTTGTTGTTTTTCTTTCGATTTATCTCGTTGAAGTTGTTGTTGTTTGGACTTGTTGTTGTTTGGACTTCTTGTTGTTTGAAGTTGTTGTTGTTTGGACTTTTATGAACTGAACTAGCTGTTGGAATTTGTTGGTTTTATATTTAAAGTCTCAATTTAGACAATAACACTAACATGAATTAGTCCGCATGAGATTAAAAATAGTCCAAAAATAAGTACATAATAATAAATAGTCTCAAGGAAGTACATTATTATATAGTCACAAAGAACATAATAATAATAAATATCTCAACATAGTACATAAATACACTAACGACCACCACGCCGACCACCACGCCGACCACCACGACGACCACCGTGCTCTGCCACTAGATGGCCGCCAGTACCACACCTTGCTGGCCTCCTGTCTCGTGGAGGCAACTGCTCAGCTCTCTCCGCCCCATCATCCTGATCCTGTGTGCCGAACATATCATCCACCTGGGACTGAACCTGCTCATCTGGTGGACCCTCTCGTCGCTGCTGCTCATATGCCCAATGAGATGTCTGGAAGTCCTGATCCTGAACCTGCAGACCGACACGCTCCCACTCGTCGACGTCCAAATGTGGCAGGTCTGTACTACCTGATCTCATGTGCCCTCCTCCCATCGTAGCATGCTGAGGTGTGTGAAAGCTATCCTTCTGGGGCTGAAACTAAGGGCTAGAAGAACTGGTGCCTGCCTGAAATCCGGTAAAAGCGCCTGGCCGTAACGGTGGCTGAGAAGGCTGGTGGAATGTGAAGGTCGAAGTAGGTCTGACTGGCTGACGATCTGAGTACCTCACTCCACGAGGTACGTCACCCTGCTCACGTCGCTGTCTCCTCCTCCTGGGCTCCTCTGTGAACTGTGGCGGTGGCACGCCCCAGCCCGATGGCTGGGTCCTACGCTCTGGCCAGCTGGCTAAGCTACGCTCATCAGGGTATCGCTGTATCGGCTCTGTATCAGGATGTCGGCGATGACTAAAACCTATAGATGTAACCCCTGCCGCCAACTGGTCAGCATACTCCGCCATCTGGTCATATGATAGCCCTCCTGCTCTCATCCCATCACGTAAACCCTGCTCAATGGACTCCATGCAGTCGTACTGCAATTTAAATGGAAAATATCAGAAATTCTACACATCTAAAAACAATTAAAACACAAATTTTAATTACTAAGAAAACTCACCGCTGCGTTCAGTGCAGCAACTCTCCGTGTGCCTGAACGTCTAGTGACATCTCTATACCACTCTTGATGCTCCAAGTGGTAAGTTAATTCCACGTCACTGTAGCTCGTCTGCGCTACGAACTCATGTTGACGGTTCCACAACTCAATCGACTCGCTGGCTGCCTGTATGAACTGCTGGCCACGTGATGGCCCATGCTGTCCCACACGAAGAAAAAATATAATCTCAGCCGCGGAATGTGGAGGATGAGGCCGGTCCTGAACCATCCCAAACTGTCCTAGCACGCGATCTGGATGATGCCACATCTGCGATGAGAAGCAGATCAGCGGAACTACTGCTCGAAACGTGTGGGCTGGATCACAATACCACTGTAGTCCTGACCTCTATGAAAGTACGGACGCCACTGCACACAAGGATTGGTCACATAATTACTCCTAAATCTATAATAAATAAATTAAAACTATTCTATAAAACGAAATTTTATATACTAACCACGAATGTCGTGCACTCGTCAAACCACAGCTTGTACAAGTAGAACTGATCTCCATGCTGACGGGGCTGGGCCGGAAGCCACCGAAGGCCACGTGGCACTGCGTCCTGAGTAATCTGCGCACCCGTCACCGCATGTAGCGGTGATGTATGAGGAAACCGCTCCCACGTCCAGATCATCAGCAAGGCGGACCATCCACCAA